CAGGGACCGCGGTTCAATCCCCCAGCACCACATGCCAGCCAGCCCCGCCCCCTGGTGGGCTGAGCTGGCCACAGACACCACACACACACACACACACACTCTCTCTCTCTCTCTCTCTCTCTCTCTCAAATAAATAAAACAATTTAAAAAAAAAAATTTAAAAAAAAAGATATCAGAAAGCAATTAATTCATTAAAATCAAATGAAACAGTAGCTGCTTCAAAGCAAAATGTAATTTCTGCATAGGAAAATGTGGCTGATGCTGTTACAGACTACGCACTCACCGCACATGTGAATTTACACCACACCTGATGTCGACGAACTCATCCAGTAGCCTACAGAACGTCTAACTGCCTCAGAGCAAGCGTTCTTAGAGCTCCCTAAAGCCGCCCGTTTAGTGAACATCATCAAGGAAAGCTAGTGCCACAGCAGCTGCTCTCTGGGACAAGGAGATTACCGAGCCACAAACAGCCAACAGAACAAGCTTTTTAATCCCCTTCATACGTGTGTGTGTGTGTGTGTGTGTGTGTGAGAGAGAGAGAGAGAAAGAGAGATACACAATGCGTGCAAACAGTGCAACGGCTATAAAACTCACCATATGAACAGTGAAGGGGTCCTGGCGGTTCAACATGGGCAGGAAGTAGGGCCAGGCCGTGTTCTTGCTGCGTTTCGCGTAGTCAAAGAAGATGCTGACACGCTGGTGATTTTCCTAAAACAGAAAAGAAATTACACCGCTACCCCAAATGGACAGTACGGAAGAACTAACAACTGTGAACTGCTTCTCAGCCTTTCATCTGATGTTCCATCCGTGTATGTACTTTTTCCATTGTGTACATCATTTGTGCTTCTGTCTTTCTTATGAGACGATGGTAGAGAAATGTATTTTACAACTAACACCACCATTAATAATTATGACTCTTTTAAAACAAAAGATTTAGAAATATAAGTTCCGCTTCTTCTAAGCCTGTACCTCTGACCCAACACTGTCTCTGCACTACCACCAACAATAAAGTACACATACCTACCACTAAAAAAAAAAAATGATGCCTATGAATCAACCTAACCAGGGAGGTAAATACCTCTATAGTGAAAACTGCAGGAACTTGAAGCAAGAGACTAAAGAGGACACTGGAAAATGGAAAGATAGGCCCTGTTCCTGCAAAGGTGGCCTTAGTATCATTTGGCCATCCACCAGTGATACATAGGTGTAATGCAGTCCCTATGAAAATAACAGCAACATTCCTTACAGAACCTTCTAGTTCTTAAGTGACCTTAAAATTTATATGGAACCGGAAGAGACCAGAATAGACAAAGAAAACTTAAGAAATAAGAGCAAAGAGGAAGGTATCACAATTCTCAATTTTAGGTTACACTACAAAGCTGTAATAACCAACACAGCACGATCCTGGCACAAAAACAGACATGTAGGCCGGAAGAGCAGGACACAGCACTGGAGTGCAGAAACAACCCTGCGCACCTTAAGGCATCTGATTTTTTACAAAAGGACCAAAAATATACACTGATGAAAAAAATCAATTCTTTAACAAATGATGCTGGGAAAACTGGTTATCTGTGTGCAGAAGAGTAAAATTAAACCTCTACCTCTCACCCTGAACCAAAACAAATCAAAATACGTCAAGGAGTCAATACAAATACAGAAACTTCGAAGCTTCGGGAAGACAACCGAGGAGCAGCTCCTGAAGGAGCACACATAAGCAGGCACTTTCTGAATAGATCTCCAGCAGTACCTGAAATAATGCCAAGAATTAACTAATGGAACTAACACAAAGCAGAAAGCTTCAGCGGAGCACATGAAACAACAGAGTGAACTTTGGGGGGCAGGGGTGCTGGCTTCGCCTCTAAAAGATGACTAATACCTAAAATACACAAAAGAACTAAATAAAATCTGACTCCAAAAACCAACAACCTAAAAAAAAAAAAAAAAAGCAATGGAATGAATAGACATGTCTCAGAAGAAACAGTCAATAAGTACATTAAAAAATGTTCATCTTCTTTAACCACCAGGGAAATACTTATCAAAACAACTCCTGAGGTTCCACCCTACTCCACTCAGAATGGCTATCATTAAAAGCAGAAGAAAAAAAAAAGCTCAAAATTTAAAACTAAAGCTTGGCACCTATAATCCCAGCTATTCAAGAGGCTGAGACAGGAGGATCTCTTGCACCAAGAGCAGGCCAGCCAAGGCAACACAGTGGGAACCCCATCAGAAAAAACAAAAAAATGTGACTGGGGCTTAGTGACAGAGCACTTGTGTAGCATGTGTAAGACTGACCCTATGTTCAATCCCCAGCAGCATACTGAAATAAATCTACATTACTGTATAAGGTACCCAAGAGAGAACAAAGTGGAATGTCAAAGAACTGTGAGCACATTAATTTTACACCAATGAAGCTATCCTACACATTTATAGACTTCAAAAAGAAGTACATAAATTTAGAGAATTTTGTACTTTTCCTTAAGAGCCTATTGGCTTAGGGGCCAGGGAGATAGCTCAGTGGAATAAATGCTTGCCTCAGAAGTACAAAGGCCTGAGTTCGACCCCTGGTAGCACCAAAAAAAAAAAAGAACCCATTGGCTTCATCTAATCAAAAGACCCCTGGAAAAACCTCAGTAATAGTACAGTGTTGAAAATTCAATATAGCAAAGTGAAATTAATATATAAATGCTCTGACAAAGTAAAAAACTGTAAATCTAGAATGAGAGAAAAAAGAGGAAACAGAGTAGGCTCAATGACTGTTGGAAATCAAAGACACTATTATAGATGTCAGGGCCCGCGGGTAATGTTCAGAGCAGAACACGGGCTCAGCATATGTAAAACATGTCCAATCCTATCTCCAAAGCAAATCGCTGAAACCAAAATACTAATAAAACAAGAATTAACAAACACTGCTAAAGATATGCACACATACTCCAAATGGAAGTGTTATCTCTCGTTCCTAGGTAGAAAAATCAGTTTCATAACAATATTATTTTACTCTTATGTTAACTTAGAAATTTAAAAATGCCAATAAACTACCTTATAGATCCAGATAAGCTCATGATCAATCTCATACCAAAACGAAAATACGGAAGGCTAAAAAAAAAAAAAAAAGCTACAAAGTAGAGCCAGGTGCAGGATCCTTTCTCTACAAGCAAGCCTGCTGGTACTTGGCGTGGTCACACAGGCGCAGTACAGAACACGGTGGCCAACCTTCTAGCATTCCAATCCTAACAAACAGTCCGCTGCAATACATGTGCTATAATACACCACCACTTGTACAAAAGGCTCAAAATTAAACCTAGCTACAAGGGAGGCTTAATATTAAAGGCAATATCACACCATCATGAGAAAGATAAATAATAAAACAGTGCTAGAATTGAATGGTCATTTGGAAAACAATGAAAAATTACTTTACACCCCATACAAGAACCAACTCTAAATGCATCAAACAGTACTAAATGAAAACAAAGATGGATTCGACAATAACTTAGCTGTAAGGAAAAACTCTCTCAGGAAGCTAAGACAGGAGGATCACCAAAAGTTGAGGCCAGTCTAGGCTACAAAGCAAGGTTCAAGGCCAGCCTGAACTACAAAGTGAGACCCTACCTCAGAAAGGAAGGGAAGGAGAGAGGGAGGGGAGGGAGAGGGGAGGCAGGGAGGGGAAGGGAGAAAGGGCTGGAGAGGGGGAGAGGGAGGGAGGGTGGGAGGGAGGGAGGGAGAAAGCCAGAAAGCAAGCAAACAAGCAAACAAGCCAGCCAGGTTTCTATGACTCAAAAATCCAGATAAACAAGTAGAATAAATGAGTCTAGTAGTTTCTCAAAAAAAGAACATGTACCATTGTAATATGATGCCTTTAACTCTTTCAGGAAGCGGACCAGAAGAGGTACAGCTGGAACAAATTGAAATTCTACTTTTAGTTTTTGAGGCATCTCCAGACTGATTTCCACAGTGGCTGTACTAGTTCACATTCCCACCAACAAGGCAGAAAAGCTTACAATGGCCCTGTCATGAAACAGCTACAAAGAGGAAAACGAGAGTCTAGAATGAATGAAAATGCAGGATATACCTATGTAAACTCACAGTGTATAACTCGGAAGTGAGAATACACACGGGACATGTAACCAAGATAACTAAGGCACACCATGACGTTTCTGATTTTCTTAACTTTCCAATTTCAAGGGGAAAGTCATGATGAGGTTTACATCTGCTTAGACTCTTATCAAAGGAGTCCGCACCAGCCTTGGATTGGTACATCTTCTTGACATGATGGCTTCACAACATCCTTCCTAACCTGGGTCCCCAGTAATGGCCACGTGCATGTCAAACAGTAGGTCCTCAACAGTGTGCGTGCGTGCGTGCATGCGTGTAATGCTCCCACAGCACCCACTGACACGCTTGCTCAAGTCTGCTCACACATGCAGACAGGCACCAGACTCGCACCTGGCCCGTCTCCTGAGACTTGCTCTATACGCCGACAATCTAAATCATCCTCAGGTATAAAATTCAAATTATGACTAGGCCCCTCTGTGTCCAGGGACCACTAAGCCAGTAGGCAGAAACTTTATACAAATGCCATAAAACTTGCAGATGATGGGCCTGGGAGATAGCTCAGCGGCTTAAGTGCCTGCCTCACAAGCACCAGGTCCTGAGGTCAATCCCTGGTACCAAAAAAAAAGTTTCAGATGATAATCAAATCTATTCTCAGAAGAACAAAAGCACTGAATCCCGTCTGGCACTGGCCTCGGAACACAAAAGCACGGAAGTCTGTTGACTGACTAGAAGACAGGAGCCACGTCACCTGACAGAACTCAGGGCATCCCAAAAGCCTTAAGTGACTGAGACTGAATGTTGCTGTTACAGTATTAAACAAAAACAACTTACGTATCTCAAGAAAAAATACATATTGATTATTGATATCCTGCAAAACATCAAAAAAGACTGTGTGTGAGTAGATTTGCAACTAACTGCAACTAATTTTCCCAAAATTAAGGGAGCTGTACCATGTACCCCCTAGAGCCAATGCCATAAGTGAACCCTTTAGGACATGCTGTGAGCGTGAAGGACTGACGCGATGAACTCATCTCAGGCGTTAAGTGAAGGTGGTACAAACCTGCAGCATGTCATCAACCACAGTAAGTATGTACTGCACTGTCTGCTCTTTGGAGATGTGAGTCATCAGATTTATAAATGTCTTAGCACACTAGAAAGAAATGAAAATACTGTTAATTACTGTTTTCATTGGCAAACATCATTTTAATGAAACTTCAGCAAAATATGATTTCCCTTTCATAAAATAGGATACAAATGCTATTAACTAACAGAGTTACACAAATATTTTAGATAAATATTTTACAAATATTGTGATGCAGTACAGTATGGGAGGATTACTATGACCTGCATAAATTTTTGGGCACTTCTAGAGATAAATCTCAAAATGTTTACTTTTGCTTTTTCTTTTGAAACAGGGTCTTGCTATGTAATTGAACTCCTAGCGATCCTCCTGCCTCAGCCTCCTGAGTTCTGGGATTACAAGTGTGCTCCACCACACCCAGCAAAACTTATTTAACTTTATTACTTTTAGGGGCTGGGAGATAGCTCAGTGGCCATAAGCACCTGCCTAGCAAGCACAAGGTCCTGCCTGTGGATCCTGAATAGACCCAGAGTGCAGGCCCAGCGTGTGAGTGGAATGACCCGGGGCCACTAGATCCTGAACTGACCCAGAGTGCAGGCCTGGTATGTGAATGAGACCGCCTGGGGTCCACTAGATCCTCATTCCACCCAGAGTGCAGGCCCAGCGTGGAATCCTTCAACAGAACTCCCTGGAAAGAGGCTAGAAGCAAGACCCACCCAGCTGATTCAGGAGCAGAACATCTTGCCAGAGTGACACAAAGGGTTCAACTCCAAAGGGTTCGACTGCAGCAGGAAGAAGTGGAGCACAGCAGCCAGACCCAAACAACACCCACCTGGAGAAACCTGAACTTCGTAGATCCGGACCTGGTGCTAAGGTAATAACTCTATCTAAGCTCTACACCAAAGGTCAGAAGACAGTGATATACAAAATGACA